GGCCAAAGATGCATTTCAACATTTCAGAGGAACCTTGGATGACTGTCTAGCCAATCAGATGTCTCTGTCATTTCTATAGTTTGGGAATTTTCTTGTTCTTCACTCCCTGTGTACTCAGGTAATACTGCATCCTTCTCAAATATCTGATGGGTTTTAAGATGAGTTAGTTATAGTTTCACTATTTTCTTTGTTACCAAATTCAAAAGAGAAACTCATAAAAGAGATGTAAACTTTATAAAGGTTGAAAGACATAAAGACTTAATTTGTTTATATAAGATAATATTTTAAGGTATAAAAATATTTTAGAAAGGTAATACTAGTTATAATAAAAAGTGGTCTAGGTATAGAATTTTGGATTCACTAAGATAGGATAGATATTAGAGTGCTTTCTTTGAATTTTCCAGATACAAATGGGCTAGACATTGTGAACGCAATTCTTATCTGGTAATTCTTATTGAGTATAGTATTACTGTGTTAGAGTTAAAACCTTTCCTTTTTATTTAGACAAAAGGGGGAAAATGTTATTGGATAATCTTTTTGTATGCTATAAGATGTTTCTCTGTTTTACCTCACCTGCCTATAGTACCTTCTGATAGGTTTAATAAAGATTTGATTAGTACATGGATAAGCAGGAGAGAATAGGTGGGACTTTGGGGAAGAAAGAGGAACTAGGCAGAAGAATCTGACAGGCAGAGATCACCAGCAAGATGCAGAGGACATCAGACATAAATTATGGAGAAAAGGTAACAAGCCCCATGGTAGAACATAGATTAGTATAAATGGGTTAATTAAAGTTTTAATAGCTAGTCAGGAATAAGCCTAAGCTAAGGCCAAGCTTTTATATTTAATAATAGGTCTCTGTGTCATTATTCGGGAGCTTGTGGTCCAAAAAAAGTCCAAATCCAGGGAAGTGCCTAGAAATGGGTTCCTCTGCAAAGCCCTTAAAACTCCCATTATTTCTAAGAGGCGCTACAGGTCTGCCATTGTGTCTGTTAGTTGTTGATGGCTGTACCAAGTACTTACTTAGCTATATCAGCAAAACTTTCTGTGTTTACCCAAGAGAGGGACTCTCATGAAACCCCAATGGCAGGAAGTCTAAGAAACAACAGCTGCACAGCCATAAGAGTCTCTGTTTATGATGGAATTTAATTGTTAGCTACACTGCAGGAGACTTTCTTTGACTCACTGAATGTTTTGTGCATGAGAAAATAAGTTGGCCTCTGATATACCCACTAAAAATGGCTGTCATTTGCTGGTGTTTATACTAAGGATTTATAGGATTAAATTCCCAGTGGAAAATTCTCTTGGTGTACACTGCCCAAATGAAGTCATTTGCTTGCCTAAACAATTTTTATTTTATCTCTCTTTAAAAACAAAATGCTTCACGAGTGACCTGTCTAAAATAAGTGACAGAAAAAAGTGATATTTTGAAACAGAAACTTAGAAGAAAACTACACTTGCACAACCCCAGAGAACCTAGACAACAAAGAAGACCCTAGGAGAGACGTACATGGATCTAATCTAGATGGGTAGTAGAAAAAGAGACAAGATCGCCTGAGTACATTGCTAGCATGGGGATCATGGGAGAGGGTAGAATGGGGAGGGAGCAGAAAGAAAAGGAAGCAGAGAAAAATATATAGCTCAATAAAAACAAACAAACAAAAAGACAAAAAAAAAAGATTTTTAAAAACAGGTAAGACATACCCAACGTTTGTGTTCACCTTGTAGAGTCTGATTATATGAGGGATATTTTGCCATGTTTCATAGTCAGAATTTCCAAAGGAAAACTTTAATATCTTTCCCCAACCCCCTCTGCTCCTAATTAGCTATTTGCACCATCTGCGACAGCCACGGATGTTCAAAGAATTCAAATTTTGGTTTCCAGAAGCAACATGGGGAGGTAATAGTTTATTTCATCTTACATTACAGTCCATCACTGAGGGAAGCCCAGGCAGGAATCTGGAGGCAGTAGCTGAAGTGGAGAATACGGAGGAACAATTCTTACTGGCTTGCTCCCCACAGCTGGCTCAGCTACGTTTCCTATACAGCCCAGAGCCACCTGCCTAGCAGTAGTACTACCCACAGAGGATTGGGCTTTCCCACATAAATCAGCAATCACAAAAATGCCTAAAGGCATCCATTGGCCAATCTGATGGAGGCAATTCCTCTGAGAACTCCCCAGATGTGTCATGTTGACAGACAAGATCAGCCAGCACACCAACCAAATGTTCATAGTCAATCTTTTTCAACCAATCCTGATCCAATAGGGCTCAAACATCACTAAAACATAAGCTCACGCTCCTCTGTGCTGATATCTCTTTCGGTCATTCTATTTCCTCAACCTAACAGTTCTTTGTTCCCTTCAAAGGCCACTTTTCCTGTGAAGTCACCAAGATCCCCTAAGCATCGACCCCTCTGTCTTGAATAGTATGGTGTACAGCATTGCTAGTCTCCATCCCTTGAAGCTATTTATAAATCCAGTGTCCTTGTCAACAGCAAGTGTTCACCCCAGGACAGTTGAGAATATGGCTCTGCCTCATATTCAAATCCCCAGAGGTACAGAGGACACTGCCTTGCATATGGGAAGGATTCAACATATACTGAAAATATGAGTTTTGTCCAAATAAGATACTACTGGCTGAGCTATAGTTTCGTGATCTTCGTTGTACCCATTACCTTTATACTCAAATAGATGTCTCTTAGCCTTAAGAGCTCCCAGGGAGAGTGGTGATAGTTCCTCTAGGGAACGATACTTCCCAGGCAATTGATAGCCACCGGCTCCTACTACAAGTGTCACTGTAAATACTATAGTACTTGGTTTCAGTAACAGGCTCAAAGCCAAAGACGAGAATAAGAAACTCATAAGGTGTTATTAAGTATTTATATGAAGAGACCTGAAAAAGTACTGTTTCAGAAGAATTACAGCTAGGATAATGTCTTACTAAGTGACAAGAATGATGGACTTCTCATTGGGTTAAGTACTGCTTTTCTGGGACTGGAGAAATGGCTGCTCTTGCAAAGTACACAAGTTCAAGCACGCACATCACCATGGTAACACCAGATCCACGTGTTCTGATGTCCTCTTCTGGCCTCTGTGGGCACCTACACACGTGTACATACTCACACAGAGGTACTCACGCACACAGACATAAATTAAAAAGTGAGATAAATCTTTTTCTCTTTAACAAACTGGTTTTCTAAAGTGGCAATCATGAGAGTCAGAATGAAAGAGGTGGGTTTTGTTGCTGTTGTACTGTTTAAACTTTCCTCATGCACTGCCTGGCAGGCATTGATAGTGTCTAGCTCTTGTATGTGAGTAGGTATCCAGCTCTAAGCATGGAACCTCTACCTAAAACTGTCTTTAAAATGTGGACATTGAACATCAAATAAAACAGAAACTAGACAAGCTCTTCAGGATGCTTCCGTAAGTGACACGGCGGTATCTATCACACAGACCCAGGATCTTTCCATATCATTGCTCTCTCATCCACAGGCTCCAACCTGTCATAAAGATGGCCGCTCTAAGCCCTGGCTGATTTGTCTCTGTTGTTCTTGAGGATGACAATATTTGATTGGGGTGCGAGGGTTAAAGTAAATATCTTTTCCTAATTATGTAAATAAAAAGTCCCCTTTTGCTTTGATTGGGTCATTTTATGTCAACTACCTAGTGCAGAATAAACAACTGTCTGCAGGGAAACATCATGTACCAATCTGCTCAGATTTAGGTCCCTGAAATCAGTTCTAAAGGGGAGGTCAGAATTTTCATGATTGGCTAAGTCAGAATTAAAATCATTTAGGAAGAGATATAACGATGAAAATCATATTGATATTCTAAAACACATGGAAAGAGGAATAGAGTTAATGCTTTACAGGATAATGATTGTGAATATGATCTGAAATTACTATTGAGATGACAATGAGTGACTTTTTAAATTAAGAAATTAAAGTTTGTTAAACAAATTTTTAAAAGAACCTGTAATGATTTCCTGAGTGGGAGAATTACAAATAAATGACAACATTTCTCCAATTTGGTCTTCTTCAATGAAGAAATGGGAGTTACCTAATGTAGAGTGTGAATCTCACGAGGCACAGATCATGTCCGCCTTCCCCAGTGCCTATCCTGGGCAAAAGGAAACGGTCAATGTTTTCCTGGTTGGATAAGTAATATAAACAGTCCATTAAATGATAGATTCTTGTGCTAGAACAGGTGCTGAGTGCACTGACTGCAGATGCACTGGACTACAAAGAGTGCCGAGGGAAGGCTCTGCAAGCAAAGGAACCAGATAAAGGACCACATATAAGCTGCTGCCTACCTACAAGCCAGCAATGTCCAGAACCCTAGCAAACATCTATGACAGAACTGTAGCCGAGCAAATGTACTCCTTTTCTCTTTAAAATGTGGTTATTTGCTTGGAAGATAACTGCAAGGCCAGCACAAGGACCCAAGTTTATTTCCAAAGCTTACACTAAACACACACGCACACACACTCCAAACAAGTAAAACTCAGACATAAAGGCATGCACCTTTAATCCCAGGGCTGCAGAGTTGGGCACAAGAAGATTCTTGGGCCTACCTGGCCTGCCAGCATAGTCTACTTGGCCAGTTGAAGACGGGGACTGCCTGAGGAAGAACATCTAAGCGTGTACTCTCATCTGCACAGACACGTGTGTGCAAATGCATTTGCACACATGCTTCACATACCCTCTGATGACATGCACACGTGGGCAGGTGGTACTTGAAACTGCCCATCCATGAACTGTGGAGGCCCCCAGTATCCCCTGGCACCAGCTAGTGTAGTGTCGTCTCCTGAGGTCTCTCGGCAGAAGTCACCGCAGACATTCCCACGGACACCCCACCCCGCCACCGCCCAAACAAACCAAATGTGCCCTCCTAGATTTCCCTGTAGCTCGATCATAAAGGGACTGGGTGTCACGCTCCCCCAGAGCCACTGTCTTTCTGGTCACTTTCTGCATCAATGCTGTCCAGCTGTCGCACTGACCTTCCGGGACACTGGAACTTCCCGCCTCCAAAAGCCATGAAGCCGTCCAAGAAAGCATTCTTATCTAAATTTGCCTCTTTCCAGCGTTCCTATGGGAAGAAAATACTTTTTTTTTCTTTCTAAACCAGCCTTATATAAATAAGCTTAACTCTACTTCTCTGGGCAAAAAATGATGCTGTACAGCTAATCCTTGCATACAAAGTTGCGGCGTTGTGGGTCATTTTTTCCAACCTGTTATTAATATCAGACACAATTGTGGTTTTGGAACATGAACTTATAAACAAAAAGGACTTAACAAGAATCCTATTAAGTGGCAGATGTAAATGACAACGTAAATCACCTACAGAATTGACCTCAGCGGAGGAAGACTATTTATAACATGGTCTCGGGCTTTATCATAAAATTAATCATCATAATAAATTTAACAGCAAGGCACCGACAAAACTGCTTTCCTGGAGGAAGCCTGGGACATGGAATAAATACATCTGGGTGCCAGCGCTCCCAGACTTTCCTAAGGGCAAGGCATGAACTAGATGAACTCTTGGAACAGCGCAGGCCTGTGATTCCCTGCAGATGAAGCAACAGATCACAGATCACCACTTTAATTTGCTGTGTTTTTATTTTGTGGGCTCCTTGGAAACCAGTAACAGAAGCAGTTGCCCAAGAAACACAAAATAAGACTTCCTTCCAGAAGAGCCAGGGCTACTGGCTTTCATATTCTTTCCTAATTTTGTCTAAAAGTCCATCTTTGAGGATGCTCGTTCCACACTCCACTTGACCTGTCAATGGTGCGACATCTACATTGAAAATGCTATTGGTACATGGCAGCCAACTTTGGACACAGTTACCAGAAAATATGGCTACTTACTGAGACATACTCAATTAATTTATGTATTTATATTCTTAGCAAAAACCAGCAGAAATTATAAAGGACAATACATATTGAAAGAGAGCACTTACAGGTTTGAATGAGTCAGGATCAGGAAAATATTTTGGATTTCTATGTAGCCAGAATGGAGACACCATCAATAGATCACCAGGAGGAACTGTATGACTCTAAAGTAGAAAATTCAGCTTCAAATAACTTATTTTGAAATAAGTTTTAAGGAGAGTTTGGATCATTAAAAACAAAGCTACAGCTATACTGTGAAAAAGAGACATTTTATTGTAACATGAAGGGGGCCTGCTTGCTTGTTTATGTTTTCTGTCCTGCCAGGTTCCCCACAATTGTTTGGCCACAAAGAAAATCACACATAGGTCTCCATAAATTATAAGCTGATTGGTCCATTAGCTCTAGCCTCTCACTGGCTAACTCTCACATCTTGATTAACCCATTTTTCTGATCTATGTTAGCCATGTGGCTCAGTACCTTTTTCAGTGGGGCAGATCACATCCTGCTGCTTTGGTGGTCTGGGCAGGAGTGGGAGGTATCAGCTTCCTCCTTCCCAGAATTCTCCTGTTCTCATTACATCATTTCTACTTCCTGTTTGGTTTTCCCACCTATATTTCTTGCCTGGCCAATCAGCATTTATTTGTATCATGATTGACAGAATACAGACAATTCTCCCACACCATTTTATAGTAAGTATGAGGAAAAACCCAACTTTCCTAGCTATGTCAATCTCTGTCTCTGTCTCTGTCTCTCTCTCTCTCTCTGTCTCTCTGTGTGTGTGTGCGCACACATACACACATGCATATGTGCCATGACATATGTGTAGCAGACAGAGGACAACTTGTGGTTGTTGGATTATGGGAACTGAATTTAGGTGTCAGGCTTGAGACATCTCACCAGCCCTAACATTTTAGATTCAGGGTCTCTGGCTGAACCTGGAGCCAATCATTCCAAGTTGCACTTGTTGTCCAGCAAGTCCCTGGGATCTGCCTGCCTCTTTTCCCCAGTACTGTAATATTGAGTGCTCACTGACACACCTGGCTTTTGTTGGAGACCTGGACTTCATTCTTGCAAGACAAGTCCTTTCACAAACCAAGCCATCTCCCCTTTTCCCGGGATAGATCATTTCTATGGTCCAATTAGAAGATGACTAGTTTCTAATTCTGATTACTAGTCACTTGTACATGTTTGACTATACAGAGGTAGATATTAGTTAAATGTCAGCATTTTATTTTCTTAAAGATTTATTGTATTTTGATTACGTGTTTGTCTATGTACATGGGGAGTCTAGAAGAGGGCACTGGATTCCTCCTGGAGTGGGAGTTATAGCCAATTGTGAGCTGCCATGTGGGTGCTGGGAGCCAAACCTGGGGCTTTTAAAAAAAGCAGTACATGCTCTTAACCACTGAGCCATCTCCCCAAACCTGATTTTTTAAAATTATGTGTATTTGAGTGTATATGTATATGCATGCTAGTGACGACAGAGGCTTCAAGATCCTCTATGCCTGGCATTGCAGGCAACTGTGAGCCACCCAGCTTGGGTATGGGGCACAAAACTAGGCAGGCAAGGGGTGCACATAGACACACAAACACACACAAATGTGTATGTATACGTATATATGTGTGTCTATGTGTATATACACACACGTGTGTGTGTATATATATGTGTGTATGTGTATATATATACATATATGTGTATATATACATGTGTGTATACAGAATGGTGAATATAAAAAAGATTGATCACCACTCTTTATTATTAATAATATATTATTTTATATATTATATATATAATTAATTAATTAAGCAGTCATTGTTTTCACTTGTGCTCAAACTTTCAAAAACCAACAAAACAAATTCAATAATATGTAAAAAGAATCAGTACAGAGAGGTTGAGGAGGCACCCTTTGTCAATCTCTGTGAACCTCTGTCCTCCAGAAGCATATGCACAGAACATATAAAACATGCACAAAGCACATGCCACACACACTATAATCAAGTGATTTATCAGGGAAGTGAAAGGCTGATTTAATATTTGATTATTAATAAATGTAACCAATATCAATAGGACAAACATGGGAAAGCATATGGTTCTGTCAATTAATATAGAAAAGCAAGAAAGAAATTTATAATTAACAAAATTCTCAGCAAAAGAGAAATAAAATGACTTGAACTTGACAAAAAGCATCTATAAAAATTCTATACCCAGCATGGTACTCAATGGTGAAAATGAAAGGCTCTCCCCTTGAGACCAGCAAAAAGCCCTGCTGGACACTTTCCATCATCAACAGAGTGCTGCACACTACAGCCAGTGTGATTATTAAAAAAAAAAAAGACAGAAATAAAAATAAAGCCTACATCAAAGAAATCACCAAAATCTACAAACATTCCTAGCTATTGGGTGGGAATACAGCTTGGTAGAGTGCTTGCCAAACACGCACAAGGTCTTGAGTTCTATCCCTGTTACCCCAGAAAGAAACAAAGAGCAATCATATGCCTGCATAAACCAAAACTTTAAACAACAGCCAAAGACCATAAATAAGCCAGACAGAGTGGATAATAACTTACAACTCTAGTACTTTAGAGGCCGAGGCAGGAGAGTAATCACAAGTTCCAGGCCAGGCTGAGCTACACATGTGTCCCCCTCAGAATAAGCCCCCGCTTCAACACCCTGCCCCCAAATGACCACTCACAAAATTTCTAAAATAAATAAAATAATAGGAACACATAGTTTTTTAGAAATCTCATTTCTTGAAAAAGCCATCAGGACACTGACACAGCAACATCTATATTAAATCTGTGAATTATCTTTTGAACCAGAGTACAATGGTGCACAGTGGAAGCTCAGTTGGGATTATACTAACATTCAGAGGAACAAACACATTCCTCTGCTTCACTGTGACAGGCAGACAACTTCCTCTTAGAGCACATTCATGGTTTAAAGTAATCAATAGATTAATTAAAAGTAAAACTATCCAAATCCCAGTAAAACAAAACGCTATAGTTTATGTAAGATCAATGAAACTAACTTTGTCTTCCTGGGGGTGCAAACATTTTTAACTGGGATTTTTACAAATTGAGATTTTTATCTCTTTTGTGGTCTATCAAAATCCCCTGGTATAAATCCAAAAGCTCTCAGTCTGTGAAACAAGAGAATGAAGAGAACTGATGTGGTCTTCCTGGGTATTGAAGGCCCCTGAGCCAGATCATTCTGGTGAGATTTTGGTTCTGGTGATTGAGTCACAGATAGTTCACTGCAGTCTCCCACATGCAATGACTCTCCATGGTGACCTGGAGAAGCTCCCCCACCCTGCCCTCACTCCACTGCCATCCCTGTGCCGAGCTGATCCAAGCCCTTCTTGTTCTCTTCTCATGCATGCTCACCTGTGGCTAGAAACTTCTCCCAGGCATTCAGAGGCACTTCTCTCATGTCCTGCTCAAAGATACTTGTTGACAATTAGAGAGCAAGAAATAGGTGTTAATGGAGTATACGCCTAGAGATGGTATGTCCATAAGTCTATATTACATCTCCTTGCTGCAAGGCTCAGGGAATAGCAAGAAAAGGGTGCAACTGAAGGCTTCTCTCCTGCCCGCCAGTTCCTGAATATCCACTCTGAGAATTAATATGAATTACAAACTGCTTGACCGATGGCTCAGGTTTATTACTAACTAGCTTTTACATTTTATATTAACCCATTTCTATTAATCTATGTATTGCCACATGGCTATGGAATTGCCACATGGCTATGGTATTACCTCACATCTTGCTTCTCCAGCAGTTGTTGGCGTCTCCCTGACTCTGCCCTTTTTCTCCCTATATCTCTGTTCGGATTTTCCACCTGGTTCTATTCTGCCTGGCTAATGGCCAAATTAGTTTCATTTAATAAAGAAATAAACCAATGGTAATAAAACATATTCACAGCATACAAAATGATAGCCCACAACATTTCCCCTTTTCTGTGTATATGAATCTACCAGGTGCTCTAACACAAGGTAATGATGAAATTGATCAGTTATTAATAGAAAATGTCCTGGAGGCCTCAGAATTCCATAAAAAACACTAGGTAAATAGCAAAGGTTTGAATAAGAATTTTTCCATCACTCAGCAACAACCCAAGGAAATTGTGAAAAAATATCCTACTTGTTCCTTGTATAATCAAACTCCATGACCTGCAGGAAATAACCCTAAAGGTATGCAAAGAAATGAAATTTGGCAAATGGATGTGCTTCATTTTTCAGAAATAGAAAAATTAAAATATGTACACCACATAACAGATACATAGTCAGGATTCCAATGGGCAACTGCTTTGAGTTCTGAAAAGGCTGATTCTGTAATTACACACCTATCAGAAGTCATGGCCATCATGGTAATACCTACATAAATTAAGACTGACAATGCTCCAGCATCTATCACTAGTAAAACAAAACAGATTTTTGCATATTATAATATAAAGCATGTTATAGGTATACCACATAATCCTACAGGATCAACAGTTTTAGAAATATCTAATATTTAGAAAATAGCAGTTTTAAAAGAAAGGGGGTAATAAATACCCCCCAGAGATAGACTACATAATGCCTTAGTAACCTAATTTTCTAAATGCTAATAAGAAAGGAACAACAACTGCAGAGACAACCAAATGATTGTGGGGCTGCTAAGCTAAACCAACAGAAGGTATCTTGACTTCAAGATTTGTGTGTAAGGATATGTTGCTTTGGAAAAGAGGTTCTGCTTTTGTTTCCATAGAAGATGAAGAGCTGTGAATTCTTCTGGCTAATGTGGCTTGATCAAGGAAGACTCCCTGAGAGGTTTCCATGGGAGCAATGACACAAGTGATCCAATATCCAGAACAGCTTCACGGCAACTGGATAAGAGTACCCAGTCTCACAGATTGCTACAACCAAGTTTTAACCATAATTCTAATTTTTTTCAGGATTCCCATATGATTAACAGCACACCCAATAAGCAGGAATTATTATAGAAAACTATACCCAAACTTCCAAAGTATTGTTTATAAATGTTCATTTTCATTTAAAGGGGGTTGGTTATAAATTATTAATGGTCATAGCCAATCTCTTTCTAAAGAAAAAAGGGGGGTGTGATATATAAATGATAAAAAAGCAGGTTATTGAATCTACTTTAATCCAAAAAACAACTGTCAATCTCGAAATACTTTATATTGGTATGGATTTTGGTTTATTGATACAAATTTCAGGTCAATTTTGTTATACTATATGTATATTTCTACTCTGGTTTAAGGTATTATCTTTATGTAGCTCATTGAAAAAATGTATAGTTAAAAATACAAATTATTAGTCATCTATAATAGTCAAACTTATGTTGTATTAGTTAGGTTTTCTAGATATGCAGAGATATATTCCAAATAGATAGGTAATTTTCAAACACTTGAAAGACTTACAGAATATGACATTTAAAATATTTTAAGAACGTAGACATTTCTCAACAGTGAGAGATGCCTGCTCCTGGGAGCACCGATTACTTCAAGAGGATGATGGGCATCAAAGAAGCTCTTTAAGGAGTTTGCTTTCAGTGTGTCAAGATTAGTCATTTGTGAAAAAAAAAAAGATCTTGCCTAGACTGCTTGATAATATGCTGTATGAACTGGACATGTTGGACCTACAGAAAAGTGACTGCTGAACAAGGTGGGGCAGTCCTTCAGGGTTCCTGCTTCATGAAAGAGTCTGCCAGACATTCTGCAGGACACAGAAGAAAGGACTGACAAATTTTGCCAAAACAGGCGTGACAGTCTTTCAGATTTCCTGCCTCACCGACAAATCTGCCAGACATTCTTGGCCTACAGGCTAAAAATGGATGCCCCAACATTACAAAAGAACTTTGGGTAACTGTCCAGGAAGCCAGATATCTCTGTCATTTCTAGAATTTTGGAAGTTGCTTACAATGCAGTTCCCGGTTACTTAGGTAACATCATATCCTTCACGGGTCTCTGATGGAGTTGAAGACTAGATAGTTATAATTGTAATTTTCCTTAGTTATGATAAAAGAAAAATTAGATATGAAACGTTAGACTCAAAGAGATGAAACAGATGATATAATATTTTATTTAATTTTGTCAAATAGAAATAGACTAAATATTGTACCCTTGTAATTCTTTCTTGATAACCAATTTGTTATATGTATTTTTACTATGTTAAAGTTAAAACCTTCCTTTTTAACTAGACAGAAAAGGGAGATGATGTTGGATACCCTTCTGTATGCTGTGAATATGCCTTATTATCATTGGTTAATAAAGAAGCTGATTTGGCCAATAGCCAGGCAGAATAGAGCCAGGAGGGAAATCAAAACAGACACAAAAAGAAAGAAGGTAGAGTCAGGGAGACACCAGCAGAAGCAAGACATGAGGTAAAAAGCCACAGAGCTCATGGTAAATACAGAATAATAGAAATGGGTTGATTTAAGTTGTAAGACCTAGTTCATAATTAGATTGAGCTAATAGGCTAAAAAGTTTGCAATTAATATTAAGCCTCAGAGTGGTCATTCAGGAACTGGCAGGTGGGAGAGAACTGTCCACTTACAAGAATGAGTGCAGAATTCTAAGAGACTGGGAAGGAATAGTGTGTCTTCTGGATGTGGCAGAGCTGTGTGTTCATGAGCTCCTGTAGTTGCGTGTTCAAGGTATGCACAGGCTCAAGTCAACATGGATGGAGGAGGGGCACACAGGTCCCCACCCCTAGCTGAGGAGCTATGTACAGCTGACAATGGGGAGGACAAACCCATTTTCTCTAAGGTGTAGCCTCTGACAGGTTATCCAGGCTCTACATTCATAGCTATATGAGCAGCATTAACTATATTCAGTGTGTGTTAACTAAAAAAGAGGACACCAAGTTTGGAAGAAGATAGGGGAAACGATCTGAAAAGAACCAGAGGGAGAGAGGAGCGGTGAATGTAACTGAAAATCACCATATGCACATATAGAAGTCTCGAAATAACATTTTTAAAAATAAATACCATTGAGTCAGCTGACAGAAGTCCACCTGCTTGGCTTAAACAACATTATATAACTGATACAGAATCACATGGCCAAATTTCTACTCGAAAGTTTATACGTTAGTGACAATATTTTCCAAAAGACAAATCTCTCTCAGATGGTGTCACTTAACCTACTGTTTATAGGGTCACTTGGGACTCATGGGAACTTAAGTACACTATCAAAACCCACTGACATTTTCCATTGGAAAAATGAAATCTTCTTTTTTTGTTGTTGTTGTTTTGTTTTGTTTTCAAGACAGGGTTTACTTGTAGTATTAGAGCCTGTTCTGGAACTAGCTCGTGTAGACCAGGCTGGCCTCAAACTCACAGAGATCTGCCTGCCTCTGCCTCTACCTCCTGAGTGCTGGGATTAAAGGCATGTGCCACCACTGCCCGGCTGGAAAAGTAAAATCTTAAAATTCACAAGGGATCACAAAAGGCCCCAAATAGCTGTAGGAATCTTAACCCAAATAACAAAGCTGGAGTCAGTGTACCACATGACCTAAAAGATACTAAAAAGTCACTGTAATCAAAAGAGCACAAAACCAATTACACAAAGAACAGACGAGACCCCTGAAATTGATCCATTCATTTATGACTTCTTATACAGATGCCAGTTTTCTTAAGCAGTGGTGTTGGGTTAACTGGGTATCAATATGCAAATGAAGAAATTAGGTTCTTATCCCATACAGTGTATAAAATCAACTCAAATGGATTAAACTTGTGTGTGTGAAACTGCTAGACAATGCATAGAGGAAACCCCCACTGATAATGATCTGGGAAATGAGGATTTGAAGAATCCAAATGCTCAGACAACAAAAGTGAAATCACACAAACTAGATGACTCTAAACTAAAAGTCTTCCATATAAGTAAGGAAGACACAGCTAAGTGGACAGACAACCTATGGGATAGGATGAGATAGGTCTGAAGTGTACATCTAATAAAAGGTTAGTTTCCAATACAAGCAGCCCAAACAACTCCTTAGTAAGAACAAAGTAGACCTACAAAATATACAAAGATCTAAGCACACAGTTCTTAAAAGAAGAGTCAAGAACTGACTAAGAGATGACTCAGCAGTTTAGAGGGCTCATTGTACTGGCTGGAGAGATGATTCAGGAGTTGTATCTGCCTGCAGTATCTGATAGAGGACCCCAGTTTGATTCCCAGCACCAACACTGAGCAGCTTGCATCTGCCTATAGCTTCACTTTCGGGGCATCCATCACTCTCTCCTGAACTTATGTACATCACCACCACGCCCAACACACATATGCATAAACATAAAAATATTTACTAAAGAAGACCTACAAAATATTCAACAAGTTTATAAAAACAAACATCTTGTACTATCATTGTCAGGGAAATGAAAAACCAAACCTCGTAGGATATTATATCAGTCCTGTTAGAACTGTATTATCAAATGAAACAGAAATGTCGAGGACAAAGACAAAAAGGGAACCACTGGAGACTGTTTTTTCTAAATGCACATTAGTATAGCCATGTAGAAGATAATATGGGGGTCCCTCAGAAGATTAATGGTAGAACTACTGTGTGATCAAGCTATCCAACTACCAAATTAACAGCCCAAGGATATGAAATTAACATGTCAAAAAGAAAACTTCACATTCGTGTTCACAGCAGCACGCTTTACAGTGACCATGGCACGGAATCAAAGTGTGCCGGTCTGCAGGTGAAGGAGGAGAAAGTGGTATGCATGTGTAGATGAAACAGCATTCAGATTTTTAAAAGATGGAAATTCTGCAACTGCACAGAAGAAGCTTGAGGACAAATAAGCCAGGCCCAGAGGGACAAGAGGCTCGTAATCTCAAAAGTAAAAATTCGGCTCACAGAACTAGCACTTAGAAATGTAGTTCTTGGGGGCTGGGTGGTAGGAGACTTCAGGAATGTTGGTCAAATAATACAAAATTCTATATAAAGAGTAGAATGTATTAAAGAGATATGGTGTACCATGTAGTTGCCATCATTAGAAATAGTGTACTAACTGCTCACAGAGTGCATAAATATTTTCACACAAGAATGACTAAGTGTTTGAAATAATATACAGGTTAATGACTTGGTCTGGCTATTACAAAACATGTACATATTTCAAAGTATATGGCAAACACACACACTATATATATATATACATATAATTTCTATTCAGTTATAATAAATTGAAGAAATCAATAATATATCAATCTAGATAACTTTAACATAATGCATACTTTTTCTAGAAGGCTCATCATGTCCAAACAAAACCAAAGCTTACCAGAATATTAATTGGCTTCACTACTTTTCTTGTAATGATACCAGGCGCTCTCAAGCGGATGGCTTCTAGAACACACCACTTAATTAGAAGGAGCTTCTTCAAGTCATCGTCAGACACTTTAATCTTATCTTTCCCTGTAAAGAGAATTGTTTAAAGATTAAAGGAAAGATGTGCTAGAGAGAGCAGCAGGTGACTTTGAGCAAGCTCATCAACGCAGGATAAGCTCACCAAGGAAAGTGCTGCTGGGATGTATTGATTCTGTCTCCTTCCAGTGCCAGAATGGACTGGCACCTAACCCTAGCTGTAACAGTCCTATGGCTACAAAATGGATAAGATGGCACCTGTCTGGAAAGCGGTTCCGTTTTTCCTCATCTCATTCTTCCTTGGCAAAACCCCCATTGCATTTAAAGAAACGGCAGTAAAAGATTGGCAGCCCAAGGGGAAAATACAGCAGGCCAGTAAAGTAAAGGTTTCCAAAAAGTGCTGGACAGCCTTAAACAGTGGGGGATGCAAATCAACACTGCCTTAAGGGGCTGGAAGATGGCTCAATTGGTAAAGACTTGCCATGCAAGCATGGGGAACTGAGTTTGAATCCCCAGCACCTATGGAAAAAATTACGTGGGGCTAAATGTCAGCATTAAGAAGGTAGAGATGGAGGTCCCTAGGCTTATAGGCCAGCCAGTCTAGCAGAGTCAATGAGTTCCAGGTTCACTGAAACACCTGTCCTGAAAAATAAGGTAGGAAAGCATTGTAGAAGACATCTACCATCAACCGCCACTTTCCACAAGCTGATGTACAGAGTGTTCCAGGGATCGATGCCCTCTTTTAGCCATCAGAGGCACTGTATGTACATGGTGCACATATATATGTGTAGATAAAAGCTCTCATATATTAAAAATAATGTTTTTAAGTTCTGGAGACCATTACATTGCAAAATAAACCCAACTGTGAAAGATAAGTATCACTGTGTTCTCATAGGCACTTACATATATCCATATACATACAAACATATGCAAACATATATCCATATACATACAAACATACACACATGCATACACACATACACTCAAAAACCACTTTAGGATTGCATGTCATTCTAGTAAGAATGGCTATCATCAGACAAACAAATGAAAATAAATGTTTGCATGTATGTAGAGTAAGCAGAGCCTATCTACATTGCTAGTGGGAAGTAAACAGGTGCAGCCTCTACAGAGATCAGTATGGAATGTCCTGATGAAACTAAAACAGAACTACCAAGTGATGCAGCTATTGATCTCCTGGGTATGGTCCCAAAGGACTCTAAGCTGTACACATAGAGATACTTGCATATCCCTGTTTACCGTTGCTCTGGTATCAACAGTCAAGATAACAGAAACAGCCTAGACATCTATCAGCAGATAAAGGGATAAAGAAAATGTGGTATATATACACAGTGGAATTTTATTCAGGTGGAAATAGGAATGAAAATGGATACAACTGGAGATCACTGGACCTGAAAGGTGGCTCAGCAGTTAAGTGTACTTGTTGCTCATGAAGACGGCATGGGTTTGTTTCCCAGATCTTACAACAACCAATGACTTCAGTTCCGGGCAGATTCAACATCTTCTTCTGGCACCAGGCAAGCATATAGAGCAAATACACGCATGCAGGCAAACACACACACACACACACACACACAAAATAAAAATAAATAAGTCTTTTTTAAGTGCTGGAGATCATTATATTATACAATAAGCCAGACTGAGAAAGAAATAAATGGTCTTTTTTCTCTTAAGCACAGAATCTATATTGAAATGTATGTATTACACATACATAGGATATGACTATAGTAAGGAACTAGGAGAGGGAAGAAAGAGTCTGGGGGAGAACGAGAGAGTGTTATGGAATATATATTTATAGGGAAGAGTCAGTCACAGGAGGTCAGACGGGTAAAGGCAACAAGGAGGTGAATAAGAACACAATACAGGTTTTCGAAAGATGACCTAATGATTCTATGGATTAGAAAATTTAAATGAAATGGACAACTTTCTGGATAAATATCACTTACCAAAATTAAATCAAGACCAGATAAGCAAAATAAATAGACCTAAAACTGCTAAAGAAATAGAAACAGCCATCAAAAGTCTCCCAACCAAAAAAGCCCAGGACCAGATGGTTTCAGCTCAGAATTCTACAAGATTTTCAAAGAAGAACTAATATCAATACTCCTCAAATATTCCACACAATAGAAACAGAAGGAACATTGTCAAATTCTTGTTATGAAGCTACAATTACCTTGATACCCAAAACACATAAAGACATTATTAAGAAAGAGCATTATACACCAATCTCACTCATGAACATTGATGCAAAAATACTAAATAAAATACTGGCAAATCGAATCCAAGAACACACCAGAATCATCATGCACCATGATCAAGTTGGTTTCATACCAGAGATGCAGGGATGGTTTAACATACAAAAATCTGTCAATGTGATCCACCATATAAACAAACAGAAAAAGAAAAACTACATGATCATCTCATTAGATACTAAAACATCCCTTCATGATAAAGGTCTTGGAGAGAGCAGGGATACAAGGAACATACCTAAACATAATAAAGGCAATATACAGCAAACCAACAGCCAACATGAAACTAAATGGAGAGAAACTCCCAGCTATTCCACTGAAATCAGGAACAAGACAAGGTTGTCCACTCTCTCCATATCTATTCAATATAGTTCTTGAAGTGCTAGCTAGAGCAATAAAACAACAAAAGAAGATCAAGGAGATACAAATTGGAAAAGAAGAAGTCAAACTCTTACTATTTGCTGATTATATGACAGTTTATATAAGCATCCCCCAAAATTCTACCAAGGAACCTCTACAACTTATAAACACTTTCAGTAAAGTAGCAGAATATAAGATTAACAAAAACAACAACAACAGCAAAAAAAAAAGTAGCCCTCCTTTCCACAGATGATAAATGGGCTAAAGAAATCAGAGAAACTTTACCCTTCACAATAGCCACCAATAGCATAAAATATCTCAGAGTAACTGTAGCCAAACAAGTGGAAGACCTCTATGACAAGAACTTTAAATCTTTGAAGAAAGAAATTAAAGAAGGCACCAGAAAGTGGAAATATCTCCCATGCTCTTGGGTAGGCAGAATTAACATAGTAAAAATGACAATCTTATCTAAAGCAATCTACAGATTCAATGCAATGCCCATAAAAATCCCAGTAAAATTCTTCACAGACCTTGAAAGAACGGTACTCAACTTCACACAGAAAAGCAAAAAACCCAGGATAGTCAAACACAATCCCCGATTTCAAACTCTACTACAAAGCTATAATAGTAAAAACAGCCTGGTATTGGCATAAAAACAGACTTGAGAACCAATGGAACCAAACCAAAAGCCCAGATATTAATCCACAGACATTCGAACACCTGATTTTTGACAAAGAAGCAAAAAATATCATATGGAAGAAAGAAAGCAATTTAACAAATGGTGCTGGCATAACTGGATACCAACATGTAGAAAAATGAAAATAGATACATATCTATTGCCATGCACACAACTCAAGTCCAAATGGATCAAAGACCTCAGCATAAAGCCAGCCACACTGAACCTCATAGAAGAGAAAGTGGAAAGTACATTTGAACACATTGGCACAGGAGACCACTTCCTAAATATAACTCCAGCAGCACAGACACTGAGAGAAACAATTAATAAATGGGACCTCCTGATACTGAAAAGCTTGTATAAAGCAAAAGACATGGTCAACAAGACAAAACGACAGCCTACAGAAAGGGAAATAATCTTCACCAACCCCACATCGGACAGAGGACTGATCTCCAAAATATACAAAGAACTCAAGAAATTGGTCATCAAAAGAACAAATAATCCAATAAAAAAATGGAGTACAGACCTAAACAGAGAACTCTCAACAGAGGAATCTAAAATGGCTGAAAGACAAGGAAATGTTCACCATCCTTAGTCATCAGAGAAATACAAATCCAAACAACTCTGAGATTTCATCTTATACCTGTAAGAATGGCCAAGATCAAAAACACTGATGACAATTTATGCTGGAGAGGATGTTGGGAAAGGGAAACACTCTGCAATGCTGGTGGGAGTGCAAGCTGGTACAGCCCCTTTGGATGTCAGTGTGGCGATTTCTCAGAAAATTAGGAAACAACCTTCTTCAAGACCCAGCAATACCACTTTGGGGTATATATCCAAAGGATGCTCAATCATACCACAAGGACATGTACTCAACTATAACTAGCAGCATTATTTGTCATAGCCAGAACCTGGAACCACCTAAATGCCCCTCGACCAAAGAATGGATAAGGAAAATGTGGTACATTTACACAATGGAGTACTACACAGCAGAAAAAAATAACGACATCTTGAATTTTGTAGGCAAATGGATTTAGAAAACATATTGAATGAGGTAACCCAGACCCAGAAAGACAAATATCGTATGTACTCACTCATAAGTGGCTTTTAGACATAATCAAAGAAAACCAGCCTACAAATCACAATCCCAGAGAACCTAGACAACAATGAGGATCCTAAGAGAGACATACATGGATCCAATCTACATGGGAAGTAGAAAAAGACAAGACCTCCTGAGTAAATTGGGAGCATTGGGACCTTGGGAGAGGATTGAAGGGGAGGGGAGAGGCAGGGAGGGGAGCAGTGAAAAATGTAGAGCTCAACAAAATCAATTAAAAAAAGATGAATAAAAAGAACAAAGTATATATAGAGATATTTGTGTATGAAAACATCACAATGAAACTCATTTCTTTTTATGTTAACAAAGTTAATTTTAAAAGACACACATACACACACACAGACACAGAAACACTCACACAGCCACACACACAAACACACACAGGCACACACACACAGATACTCGTACACAGACACACAAAGAGACACACACAGAGAGATATTAAAAGTGATCTGGCCTTCCTTCCTGACAATTATTGTTTGTTTATGTTGTTTTGGTTTGACAAATGGAGACCAGGTCTGCCTTGAACTCAATCTTAATCCTTCTGATAGCTCTGACTGAAGGCAGGCACCATCATGCCCAACTCTTTTACTTTTCTACTTAGTTATTTCTTATAGAATCCAAAGACAGG